CTGGAAGCAGCAGATTTTAGGGAGTTCGGTTTTGCACATTACGTCTTGGATGGCCAACAAACATCTGAGCTGTCAAACAGGCAGCTGGATAGAGCACGTGAGGCTCAGAGAAGCACTGCCAGCTTACAGATGGTATTTACAGCCAGGAGCTTGTGCTCAGGGAAGCACACTGGCTGTAGCTGGTGGAGGGGGACCAGGCTCTGAGCGCTAGGATCCTCCAACAGCATGAGCTATTGGCTGCAGGCACAGCATGGGAAATGGAAGCAGAAGCCGTGAGGCCAGGAGGGTGGCCCATCCTAGAAGTCTGTGAGCTAAGAGCTACTTCTGTCTCCACGGGAACGCAGCAAAGACTCAACTTTGTTTTGGGGCTTTGTTTGCTGTTTCTTCCTTTATTCTTAGTGGCTTCAAATCTTTCTTAGAAATAAAGTGCACATGCATTTAGCATGATTAAGGATGTCATTTAATCTCTAATCTGCATGTCCTCTTCTATAACATAGAGGTTAACACCATGCCTGAGGGCTAATCTCATAAGGCTACTGCAAAAAAACCAATGACATAATATATAAAATAGGTTTGGGTTTTTTTTTGAGTTGGGGTCTCACTCTGTTGCCCAGTCTGTAGTGCAGTGGCACAGTCACAGCTCACCACAGCCTTGACCTCCTGGGTTCAGGTGATCCTTCCGTGTCAGCCTCCCAAATAGCTCAAGACTAGGGGTGTGTGCCACTATGCCTGGCTATTTTTTTTTTTATTTTTGTAGAGACAAGGTCATGGTATGCTGCCTAGACTGGTTGTGAGCTCCTGGGCTCAAGCAATCCTCCTGCCTCTGCCGCCCAAAGTACTGGGATTATAGGTAAGAGTCACCACGCCCAGCCAAAAGTAGTTTTCTTTTACTTGAAAACCATTAAATACCAGTTAAAGTATGCTGGATAATCTTTAAAAGAAAAGTTATATATATCAAACCAAGGAAATATAGCTTTGGTCAGGCACAGTGGCTCAAGCCTGTATTCCCAGCATTTTGGGAGGCTGAGATGAGGGGAATACCTGAGCCCACAGGTTCAAAAACAACCTGGGCTACCTAGTGAGATCTCATTTCTACAGTAAATTTAAAAATTAGACGGGCATGATAGCATGTGCCTGTAGCTCCGGCTACTTGGACGCCTGAGGCAGAAGGATTGCCTGAGCCTAGCAGGTCAACGCTGGGGTGGCCATGAGCATGCCACTGCACTCCAGCCTGGGTGACAGAGTGAGACTCCAATTAAAAAAAAAAAGAAATAAAGCTTGAGTAAATAAAACAGCTACTGAATTAAAAATGCCACTTTACACATTTTTTTGTTTGAGTCACAGTCTCACTCTGTCACCCATGCTGGAGTGTAGTGGCATGCTCATGGCCACCAGAGCCTTGACACGCTGGGTTCCGGCGATCCTTCCGCCTCAGCCTTCCAAGTAGCTGGAACTACAGGCACATGCTACCATGCCCAGCTGTTTTTTGAAATTATAGTAGAGACGAGTTTATCAAGTTGCTCAGGCTGGTCTTGAACCCCTACACATTTCTTTGTTTGAGTCACAGTCTCCCTCTGTCACCCAGGCTGGAGTGTAGTGGCATGCTCATGGCCACCACAGCCTTGACACGCTGGGCTCAGTCCATCCTTCCGCCTCAGCCTTCCAAGTAGCTGGAACTACAGGCACATGCTACCATACCCAGCTGTTTTTTGAATTTACTGTAGAGACGAGTTCTCATCAAGTTGCTCAGGCTGGTCTTGAACCCCTGGGCTTAGACAATCCTCTTGCCTCAGCCTCCCAAAGTGCTAAGATTATAGGCGTGAGTCACTGCGTCTAGCCACAAATTCTTTTCTTTCTTCTTTTTTTTTTATAATCAATATTTTTTATTATGATATTGTGGGGTACAGTTAAGAGTTAGGTATACAAATATGCTTTGTTCAGGCACCCTTGTTGACACAAATTCTTTTCTAATAAAACATCATTACAACTAAAATTTTACTTACTAATTCCATTGTTTGCATTTGACATCATCTATGATATCATATAGTAAAGCGGTTAAAAAAGTATTCAAGACAACCCCTTCGGTTCTCCTCTCACTGTGGGAGCTTTTCTATCCTCTTAATAAATCCTGTTTTCAAAAAAAATTTAAAAATAAAAAAGTTTTGGCTGGGCTCAGTGGCTCAGCCTGTAATTCCAGCACTTTGGGAGGCTGAGGCAA